CACCCACGCACAGGAAATCAATGTGAGTCAATGCCCTGTATAGCTATCCTTATCTCAACCAGCAAAAACCTTTGTTCCTTCCTATTATTGCTTATACTCTCTCTACAACAAAATTAGAAATAAGGGCAAAATAGTTTCTGCTGGGTATTGAGGGGGTGGGGGGTAGAGGGAGGGGGTGGAGTGGGTGGTAAGGGAGGGGGTGGGGGCAGGGGGGAGAAATGACCCAAGCCTTGTATGCACATATGAATAATAAAATTAAAAAAAAAAAGAAAAAAGAACAGGAGGGTTCAGTGAGGTGATATTTGTAAAGCATTAGCAGAGCCCCTGTTATCTAGTAATATTCCAAAATGGTGTCTAGCATTTTGATTATCATTATTTCAACACAGCTAGGGCCCTTTTGTGCAGGGCTTTAGTGTCTTAATTACTCAAGTGAGGCATCTTTACAGGGGGCATTACTGTGTGCAAAGCCAGCAGCTGTTGAAGATTAGGTAAGAAGGGGATCCAACTCAGTCCAAAGCCAAGTATTCTTGCTTCACCCCAACCATTGTGGGGAGGTGGAAGAAGCTCTATGAGTAAATCTGGTAAATCTGGCCTCTTCTTCTGTCTCTTTTATATTTCAGATTTCTCCTTAAGATTTTAATATTTTATTTTTACAGACACCAACCAAACAACACAAACATATGCACGCACACACACACACACACACGAAAAATATTCTGATGTGTTAAGTTCAACTCCCTCAGCCCGGCATTGAAAACTTTCTGTGATTTGGCTGTAGTTTACTTCTCTAGGTTCCCTTCTGCACACCCCACTCCAGCCTACCCTGGCCTGAGATTCATGCATTTGGCACCCTTCTCATCCACATGCTTCAACCCCAGATGGTGAGCCTTCTCCCACATCACCAAATTTACCCCATTTCAGGCTTAGCAGCAATACCAGCCCTGTGGGAAGGCTTTTCAGAATCCCTGGACTGAGTCAGATCCAAGTTCACATCTTATCTTCATCCCTACCAGCTATATAATTGTGGATTTTAATCAAAGCCAGCATTTGAATCTTCCTATCAATAAGGTAGAGAGAATAATCCTAATCCATGGTGCTAATAGAAGGACTGATTATTGCCAACTATAACCACTGGCACTAATCACATATCTCAGGTATGTCAATTACTTCCTTCCTTGAACTACAGTCATTTCTTCTATTTACTTACTCGTAGAAATGGTGTGGGAACAACTGCAGAGCCATTGGGGAATGAGAGTAGATTCTTGGTCTCATTCATTTTTGGGGTAGAACTCAGGGCCTTGCACATGCTAAGCAAGTATTCTACCTCATAGCTACATTCCCTACTCTTCTTAGTCCCATTCTTTACCAAAATAAATTCTAATATAGACCAAAGTTTTAAATATTAAAAAAATGAAATATCAACAACAGCAAATTAATGAAAGAAAAGACAAGAGAATTTATTTATGAATCTGAACTAGAGGAGGCCTTTCTAAGCTGGAGATAGCCAGAAGCTAACAGATGAAAACATTGATGAATATGGCTAATTAAAATGCTCATTGGGGCTGGATGTGAAGCTCAGAGGTAGAGAACTGGTAGGCCCTGGGTTGGAGCATCAGTACCCAAAGGTTAATATTTCCACAGCAAAATAATAATAATAATTAATACTATAAAAATCAAATCAAGAAAATAGTTTTGCAACACAAATAAAAAGAGCAAACTTTCTTAATTTACAAAGTGACTCACATATCAATTAAAAAGGACTGAAAATTCTATTAAAATAGGTAGTCGGGTAACAAACACAAATAATAAATATGAAATAACTCATTTTCACTGCTAAATAAGCATATACTGAAGGAAAAGGATGCCATTTTTTTAAAAGTATTAGACTGGCAAAAATTAAAAAGGATAATTAACTTTGGTAATAGCATAAGAACACAGGCCTTTTCATCTAATGCTGTGAGGGTACAAATTGGTGCCACATCTGTTGAGAATAATTTAACAATATTTACCAAAATAAAAAATGCATTTTCATAGGCGGAGGCAGGAAGGTCATAAGTTCAAAGCCAGCCTGGGCTACATAGTAAGACTGTCTCAAAAACCAAAAGAAAAACAAAATCAAAACAAAACAAAACAAAATAAACCATCTCCCCCACCCCGCAAAAAAAAGAAAGCCCTTCAAACTCCCACTGTCGTTGTACTCATTACTTCTACTGATACAAATTAAACTCAGAAATAAATTCAAGACCTGCGTAGATGGCTGGGGATGTTGCTCAGTGGTTGAGTGCTTACCCAGCACACATAAGGCCCTCGGTTCAATCCTTTGCACTGAAAAACAAAACAAAAACCTTACAAGCTAATTGCATTTCTTTGAGTAATGGAAAAAAGATTTAGCTACTTGTCAACAGACAACCATAAATGGACAAATGACACAGACAAAACACAGCATTCTATAGTTATTTCAAAAGAATGATATGTACAGGATATTCCTGAAAATATTAAGAAGGGGAAAAGCCCAGAAGGAAAATGATGCGATTTGAATACAGTTGAAATGTGGGGTGAGGGAGTAAGTGTACGTACATCAATAGACACACATTAGCGTAAGTATTATTCTGGAAAAACATGAGAAACTGAGAAGTAGTTATTTTTGGGAAAGGAACTGGTAGAATAGTGCACAATTTTTGCTTTTCTGAACTCTTGGAAAGTTAAAATCATTTCCTTTCATATCTCTCCTCCTCTTCCTCCTCCTCCATCTTCTTCTTTCACTCAGTGCAGAGGATGGAACCCAGGGTCTTGTTCATACGAGGCCAGGGCTGCACCACTGAGTCACATCCCTAACATGATAGTACTCGTGAAGTAAAGCTGATCCCACAACAATGTAATGCAATATGAAATCCCAATCGAAGAGCCTTCCCTTATTTCTACTCTTACCCAGTATTGATAACAGAGTTTACATTGATTTTCCTCTGTGTCAACTGCCTGGGAGTGCAGTTCTGTTTCCGTGGAGTAGTTTCTGATTGCCATGTTCAGATTCCAAGAAATATCTGTACCAGCATGAGAAATCTTGCTGACTGGCATATTATTTCTCCTCACACTAATGCCAACGTGCAATAGTTAGAGCCCAGCTAGCTTTGCTCAGCTCAGCAAACACAATAGATATTCTTAGTTCTGTTCCCTTGCTCCCTGGACTCCAGGTCCAGAATGGATGATAGTGAAATGGAAGGATGGAAGAAGAGAAAAGAGCAGAGAATGAGTGTCTTTTTGGTCAGCCACACCGATTTTTCTCCTCTCTGGAACTTGAGGCAGCCAGCTCCATTATTTACATCATTTACTTGGTACAGAACAGTCAACCAGGCAGGGGCTGAAACTACTCTTTCATGAGGTGCCTCTGCCACCTGCCCGTCCAGCCTCTCTCTTACTTCCTGGAACCTGACTCTAAGAACCCTAGGTTGTCTCCCAGAGCCTCCCTGCACAGGCTCTAATGCTCCACTTCTTTTATTAGACATTTTTCGAATTTCCTATCTCTAGTGCTGAACACAATGTTTGACGCAAAGCCCTAATTCTTTTGTTCCCTTTTCACTGAGTTTTGGCTTATACAAACCAGCACTTGCTTCATTGTTAATCTTTCTACAAATATATTGAGTGCCTGGGTGCAGAAACCAGAGTGGGGCTCAGGCCTCATAATGGTAACTTTGTACCTTACATCTAAATGTTATTTAAATAATATACAGTTCATTTATTGTAGGCCTTTGTCCCCATCTAGGACACTAGAGAGAAACAAAGGTATTCCAAATGGCTCATTTGAACACTAGCTGTAATTTATGAACCAGATTAATAAAAATATAGTTGATTATCTTTAAAAAAAAAAATGGAGAACAGGAAGATAAAACAGGTCCTGCCTGGAGGTTGGTACCACTGAGGGGGGCTGGATATGAGAAAAGGTTGTAGGAAGGCAAATATAGTGGAAATATCATGTACCTATATATGAAACTGGAAAAATGAGACCCATTAAAACTATTCCAGGAAATGGGGGAGGGGTGGATTAAGAGAATGATGGAGTGAGTGAATTCAACAACGATTTATTGCAATAACTTTTGTAAATATCACAATATACCCCAGTACAAAATAATATGATAATAGAAAAAGATAAAAAAGGAAGTTTCAAAATATCTCTGAACTGTAACTACATAAACTACTCTGAACAAAATATCTCTGAACTACTTTTACATAAAGTAAAGGTGATGTGTAAGATAAACCAGGAGTATAAACCCAGTAGTCCATTGTTATAAGGAAACATTTTTTTTAGCTTTGAAATACAAGTTTATGTTTTCTACATTTTTCTTAATTCTGGGAGTTTATATGTTTTTTTCAACACAATTGTTCTTAAATCTTGAATTTAATCAATAAATTCAATAGCAAAAGTTTTGTCAGCTGTGGGATTATGTAATTATTTTTATGTAATTAAAAAACTCATTTTTGGCTTTTTAAAAAAATACGATTTATTATGTGGAGGTTCAAACATTTCTTAGCATGAAGTGCCCACACATTGGAAGACTGGTCATGGGTAAAAATAAAACACATGTAACCGTGACAGGGAGCACTTGCAGTAGAACACTGGCAATCAGGAGAGTAGAAGTGACCTTATGAACAATTCGTGATAACTCAACCCTACCCCCTCAAATTATATAAAAATGTCATGTACAATTTACCTTCAGTACTAGCATGTTAAGCATCAGCTGCACATATTTTTTTAAATGAGATATTTAAACACTGCTTTATAAGAAGGCCACCATCACCTATGTTATCTTTAAATTCATGAAAATCTGTTTTTTTTCTAATGTGAAAATGTAGCTGTGAGATTATCAGCTGATAAAACTTTAAGGTATTCAAACTCACAACCAATGGAAAAGGTCTTAATCCAGTACCCTACCTGTAACTGTTAGGGTCATTTGCACAGTCACATTGGGGTTTAGTGGAGCTTCCTGCTGTTACTTATTACTTACGTCATGTAGGTAAAAAATGTGCTGAGTGGCTCCAGGGAATGATTCCGCAAATAGTCAAATTCTCTGCATAGCCTTTTCCTCATTTCAGTGTCGATTTTGGAAACAGTAAGAGGATTGGTTTGATTGGCCAAGAAGTTGCCATAATCAGTGGTCTGGAGATGAATTTTCAGATCTGAAAGTAAAAGAAACCCCAAATCAAGTTAAATTTTGAGAGTGTATTTGTGGTAACTTTAAAGTAAATACATACTTATTATCTTATTAGAATTTAATATAAGGTCTATACATTATTTAGACTTGAGTGAGAATCTCTAAAGCAATGAGAAGTTAATGCAGGTGTGAATATTCTAGTACTTCATAAAAATTTCCAATTAAGAAATCTGATATCATTTCAGAGCTTAAAAAAAAAAGAATACTAGTAATAACAAACACCTAATCCAGAGATGGCTTTGCCTGAACCAGTTTTAGTCATTTGGAAAACTGTTGCGACTACTAAGACTCCATTCCATCTTGATGGAAAAGAGAAATTTACTAGTAATAGTTAACAGGGGTGCAGGCAGCCAATACTGCTGAATTTCAATATACTTTCAAAACAGATGAAGAAACTGAAGCCCAGTGGGGCTAACTAGTGGAATTGTACAGGTTGATCTTAGACTAGGAGAGGAGGCTCCTTGTCTTAAAGCCCATTGTCATTTCTACCAGGCCACGCTGGGCATCTTTAAATGTCAATAGTTTGGTCAAGTTGTCAGATGACTGGGTTGAATTCCAACTTCATCTGCTGTGTCTTCCTCCTGAACAAACCAAGTGTTTTTCAGTATCTAAACTTCTGTTAATATTGACCCCGCTCCACTCTCTAGAATGCTCTCTCTTTTCAGATTTGCTCATTATAATGTATTCTTCAAGGTCTGATTATAACATCAAAATAAGTTACCTGTTATTGAGTACTTACTATGTACTACACTAAACTTGTATTCTCATTTAACAAATCCTCAAGTCAATCCTATGAAATAGGAGTGATTTTTATGTCCTTTTATAGATAAGAAAGAACACTGAAGCTGGGTGGCTTAATAACTTTCTCAACAGGGCATAGGTAAAATAGGATCTTAAGTGACTTCAAAGTCACTTGTATTTTATGCCAACCAGTGCCATCAGATTATCACAGCTTCTGTAATGCCTTAGTTCTCCCAAGTTCATTGATCTGAACTTGAAAGTATTTTAATAATACCTTTAATATATTAGCTACTATAGGATACTACCTAGATTTAACTAACATGCAAATGTTATTGAAAATATAGAATGTCTAAAATGTCTTTGGCTCCATCTAGCACACATAGAGCCAATACAGCATTTTAGTACTTATTGGTTCTTCCACTTAAACATTTATTGAGCACCTATGATGTGCTATCAACTACCAGAACCTCAAAGATAGACTAGACATAAATTCCTCACCCTGAAGGAAACTCACAGTCTGGTGGAGGAGAAACTCACCACGTCCTATTCACACAATAAGCTAAATTTGGTGAAAAGATCCTTGATTTATGGGACAGAGAGAATGGCACAGAGGGATGGGAGCAAGAGGACTTGTAAAGTGTCCTCAAGGAGGCTAAGCCATAAATGAATATTTAAGTGCTCTATACGAGTAGGAAGACCGTGTTCTATGAATTAGGACAGGAGCAAGAAGCTTTAAGCTCAGTGTTGCTCAAGTGTTACATGGAAATATGGAAATTAAAAACAGAACTATATATGATCCAGCAATTCCACTAATGGGGATATAGCTAAAGGAAATGGTGTGTGGAAAAAGACACTGCACTCCCATGTTTGTTTCAGCACTATTCACAATAGCCAGAGTATGAAAGCAACATAAATATCCATCCGTAGATAAATAGGAAAAGAAAATATATAGTGAAATGCTATTCAGCTATAAAATAGGAAGGAAATTCAGTTGTTTGTGACAATACAGATAAACCTGGAGGACATAATGTTAAGTGAAATAAGCCAGGCACAAAAAAGCAAAGAATACGTTATCTCATTCAGATATGAAATCTAAGAAAGTTGAACTCATAGATGTGTAAAGGGTAGAACAGTGGTTACCAGGGACTGGGGGTGGGGGAGGATTGGGGATGCTGAGACATTGGTCAAAGAATACAAAAGTTCAAGTCCCTAGAAGGAATCATCTCAAGAGATATATTATACATTATAGTGACTACAGTAAATGACAATGTATCGTATTTTGAAAATACACTAAGAGGATAAATTTTACTGCTATTCTCACTATAAAAAATAAGTGTATAAGAGAATGCATTTGTTAATTTGCTCAGTTGAGTCATCCTACAATGTATATATGTATCTTTCAAGATATTGTGTTGAAGTTACAGTTAGAGTAAGAAATTTGGGCGTGTTTTGCACAGTAGGTTGACTATAAATAGCAATAATGTACCGTATATTTCAAAACGTTAGAAGAAAGGGTTTGGGAGTTTTCATCATAAAGAAATGATGGTGTTTGCGGTACTGGTTTAAACAGTACACAGTGTGTACCCATTTTGAAGCATCATAAGTTACTCCACTAATATGTACAATGTTTACGCTTTATGTGTCACTTAAAAATAAACTAAATGCTGACATAATATCAACACTCTGTAATATCAGCACTCTGGAGGCTGAGGCAGGAAGATCATGAGTTCAAGGCCACTCTGGGCTATATTGTAAGAACCTATCTAAAAAAACCTCAATATTATTCTTATAAGTTTAATTTACACAAAAATTTTAAAAAGCACATTGCACACGATAAATAGGCAAATTTTGTTTTCAGTACTGGGCTTGAACTCAGGGCCCACACCTTGAGTCACTCCACCAGCCCTTTTTTTAGAGGGGGATGGTTATTTTCGAGATAGGGTCTTGCTAACTATTTGCCAGGGCTGGCTTCAAACCACGATCCTCCTGATCTCAGCCTCCTGAGTTGTTAGGATTATAGGCAAGAGCGACTGGCACCCAGCCACATAATTTTTATGTGTCATTTTTTAAAGGTGATAGAGAAGCAGAGGTAAGAATTGAAGTCAAGGAAATGGCATATGTTGTCATAAGGAGGGCTTGGTGTCTTTATCCTCAGGATAACGGGGAGCCACTCAGACTATGAAACAACTGCTCTGGTTGGGAAAGGAGGGTTGGATCTGCAGTAAGGCAAGGTACGGCATCCTTCCTCAGAGTCTGGAATAGATTTTGCCTGGAAAATGCTCTTTATTTGACTGCAGAACTTACTTGCTCAGATACTTATTTAATCCACTCAATATAAAACAATTATAGTTTTTTGCTATGCTCTTATTTTGGCAGTTCAGATTTTTATGTAATTTGACAGTTTGCATTCTCAGCACCAAGGAATATTTGCCAACAGAAGTGACACAAATGGTATTTCTTTCAAAACCATGATATTTGCTCCATGACATATGTTTCTTTTAAACTAAATAAAGTTCAAACCTTTCAGCTGCCAGAGAGATCCTGAAATTAGACATTTCGAGTGTTTCAGACCCTGGAGGATCTTGGAATACTGACACGGGAAAGGCAAACGGTACAGAATCTGCCTCATGCCCACTCCCTTCTCTAGCACCAAAATGATCCAAGACACCTTTGCATGCAGATTCTAGGAAAATCCTAGGATCTCAAATATTTACTGTGAGATGCTGACAAATTGCCAATAATAACAATATCACTCATACTTTCATAGTTTTCAAAATGGGCTTATTTAATCTTTTTCTCTACATTACCCTAAATGCTTATCTAGATAGGTACGTCAGTAATAAAACTTTGTGGTCAAATAACTTTGAAATAAATAGTCTTCTTTACCATAGAATAAAAAGTCTTTAATACATTAATGTAAGAGATTTGTTTGAAAAAAGTATGGTATGAAGCCTCCCAAGCTATGAAAAAACACCAGGACAGCCTGGCCCACAGGACACACATGGGAAAATACACTACACTTTATCCAGAAAGTATGTGGCAAGTGGTGTTTTTTTTTTTTAATGAGGACGGGAACCCTACAGATTAAATCAATTAAATAGGTCCTAAATAGAATAAAAGAATAAAAGGAATCCATTAGGCTAGTCTCTCAAGTATCAGAGTGCATCACACAGAAGTGCAAATGTTTCCATGGTATGATATGAAACAGTGTCTTCCCAGCATTGCAACCACAGGGTTGAGGGAATGATCTGACATCACATGGCTAGTGAGTGAGTCAGGACGGGGAGCTGTGACTTTGTGATTACCCTCTCTTTATCAATTTGTTGGCAGTTCATTCTTAGAAAAGTTATGATTTTTTTTTCCATGCAGCTTCCTGTTTGGTCCTCTCCATAAAGCCAACATACGACCTTTCATTCTCCAAGGAGGTTATACCAAGGAATTACCTTTAGAGGTACCTGTCCAAGTAGTCAAGGGGATCCCCCTGCATTTCCCCCACTTTGCTGTTGCTGAATTTTGGGAGGTTATCTGTGCTTTCTGAACTCAGTTTCATCATCTACAAAATGGATGTAGACAGCTTGGGTATAGCTCAGCGGTAAGGAACTTGCCTAGCCTGCATGAGAACCTGGGCTTGATCCCCAGAAATACACACGGACACAGAGTCTATAGTTTCAGACTATAGCAGAGATTAAATTAGTGACATTATAGCCCTGGTTTAATCCCCATCTCAAAAACAAACGAACAAAAAGATAATGCAGGTAGTGAAGAAACAGCATATAGAAGCTACTACAAAATATGATTTTTTTTTGCTTCCGATATGTGCCTGTTCACTTCCAAAATAATCAGATTCAGTTGGCTAAGAACTTTGATTTTTATTCTCTACACTAGGAATTTCCCAACTGATATATCGAATTCTTATATCAGATCTAATAGTTATTCAGACTTTAAATAAATATATCAATATCTATAAAACTTGATACTTCTTTTTCTTTCTTTCTTTCTTTTTTTTTTTTTTTCCAGACAGGGTCTTATTATGTAGCCCAGGCTGACCTTGAACTCACAATCCTCCTGCCTCTGCCTCTGCTGGGATGACAGGCATCCCTACATTCCTCCATCTCTTCTCTGATCTCCACTCCTAATGGATGTGGCTTAGAATGACCATCTGACCCCTAGATTACTGATTTTCCCAAGTTCTTTTCTTCTCAGGAGCTCCCAAGCCTCAACTGT